GAAGCCCAGCGGGAGCCCAGCGCCCCCAGCCCCGGCGGCACTGCTGTCACATCGCGCTCAGCGACCACCCCACTAACGACGGTGCCGGGTGCGTGGGGTCCGGCTCCCTCACATCACAGGAGTCAAAAGAGCACGTCAGGCTGGCACCAGCACACACCGCGATACGCGGCAGGCCTGGGAACCAGGAGCATCGCCTGCGCGGATGCCGACCTGGCTCCAAACAAGACGTGCGAGCCTATGGGCCGGGGCACAGGGCGAGGTAAAAGTCGAGGAGAAAAAACTACCAGGTGTACATAAACGTGAGCATCGTCACTTTGCACAAAGGTTGAACCGTTAAGAAAGCGTCAACAGGTTTGAGGAGCGTGCAGCCCTGCCACCAGGACGGCCACTCGCAGAAGATGACCAGTATGTGCGTGTTCTGTGACGAGCTTTCCTTCTTCGTACTTAGAAAATTCTTAACCCCTTGAAAATAAAGTTAGAAAAAGATGCTTCACAATTTTAAACACAGGTAAAAATAAAAAAATCAAGCTGCCTGTACAACCTAAGAAGTGCACAGTTCACTCGTTTTTACAGTATTTCAGAATTAAGGAGACACACCAGTGACACAAGGCTCAGAAAAAGGAAAAGGCAAGGGGGAAAACAGAGAAAAGAATTTATAGCATACACTTCCTACTGAGAAAAGGACCAAGTTGCAGGAACCACATTAAGCCCATGAGTGCATCTACTACATTCTGTACATGTGGAGTTGTTAGGATGAGGAAGAAAGTCAGGAGAAAGTCTACAAAGAAACACTGACTTTGAAAACTGGAATTTATACTACTTAGGAGAACTTGGAGGATCTTCAGCAATAAAACAGACTAAAAATCCACACCACCAGCGATGCACAAGGTACAGGTAGGCAAGCACCAACTTTTTAAGTTAACTATATAGTCTCATAGAAACAGATCTGAAAAAATTAGCAAGTTAGAGAGGTGACAAAATTAGGATGAAGATTATTAATAAACTAGGATGGGAGCAGGACAGATGTACATACATTGTTTGTATAGTTTTCTAGAGGTTGGTTGTTTGTATAGTTTTCTAGAGGTTGGAAGATGTACACACTATTGACACCGATTGCTTGACAAGCTGAACTTCTACACTGGAAGAAATCTACTATCATGTTGGCTGGAAACATTTACAGAACTATATGCTTATAAACCAGAGATTAATAACCATGTGCAACTTTAGAAGACTTCTATAAAGTATCTTTAATGACTTGGTTCATGCCATTTTAAAAACAGTCATTTTCAAGAAGAAAATCAATACATTTGTTGTATTGACTTTGCTTTCCCATTCCTATTCCCATCTTTGCTAATGGTTTGGCATCCACAGTATCTACAGTCTGATGCCTGGGAAGATATATTGAAAATTAATCCCAAGTTTCCAACTTGCTAATTATAGTGCACAATTATTGTGGACTTCCCCCACCGTCCCCCTACCTCAGTATAATTAAAAAAGTGAAAGTCTTTCTGTGAAAGCTCCCCAAAATGCCAGAGATGTCATTAGCAAAGTATTTCTCTAATCTATATATATGGCCTGTCTAACTTTATAAATTGATACGCAGTCATGCAAATGATGGAAGAAAGTCACTGGAAGAGGGCAGCTATCATAATCTAGCAAGCTGTATAACCTATCCCCATTCACCATGGGAATCTTTATTATGCTGCTGTCCTTGCTCTTTCCTGAGGAAGAAAAATCTTCATTTTTAGAATGTAGCATCCTAGTAACATTTCTGCAGGTAGGTATAAGTGAGAAAGATTTTTGCTCATATTTCTCATGACCCAAGCTGCATTTACTCACCTTTATTAAATGAAGAATCTCTGCAACTGAGCTCAGTAAAGTGTCATTTAACCAGAAATCTTATCTTCATCAAATGCTTTGATTTCTTCTAAATAATTGGGTTAGGTCTACTTTTGACAAGGCCACACACAGAGTCCTTTTAAGGGAAGATGCCATGTGATCTCAGTCAGCTAGATAAGTGGATTCTCAAAACACATCCCCATCTCTTAAAACAGACAAGAAAATGGGCCTGACAAAATCCATGTTATACAATATGCTGTATATACAAATTGAAAGACTGCATGTCTCTCTCTCCTATTACTCCATTTAACAAGATTCAGTAAAACATGGAAGCAAAGCACCAATAGCCATCTTTCCCCAAGTCCTTGAAGAATGAAGACAGGTCTTCAGGTCTCTAAAGTTTCTTCATTTGCCCCACAAGTGTCTACAACACAGATTAAGCAACTTGTCACTGGGAAAGCACGGACTTTGGAGTTGGCTATCCACTTGTCTGTTTCAGTATTATATTCAAGAATGTGCCCTAATCGACCAACACCCTGAAAACCAGCCAGGACATAGACTATAGATCCCACAGCAGCACACTTCACTGTTACACCTTTCCATGGCATTGGAGACACCATCTTCCATTCATTCATCTTGATATCGTAATATTCTACATTATCAAGGCCACCTACAAAGCAACGAAATAGATAACTGCTTACTACATTATACCATATGGACTGAACATACAAATGCTTCATTAAACTTAGTCTTTATTTTCAAGGTTCAGATTGAAACATAAATCCTACCATAAAAAAAAAAAACCTCAAGAAAAGGCCACGGGTTTCTCAACTAGCTGTTTACCCTTTTATAAATACAGACATAGAAACAAGTAAAAAGACACAGTGAGATGCGTTGTAACAAATTTCACATTATACACTTTCCAGAGATTCTAACGTGTTACGTCATGAACAGAAGAACTAACAACGTGAATTTCTTACAGATTTGTGGCTAGTGACTAAACTCAGCAATCCACCTGAAACTTCCCTATAGTGAGGGCATTTTATTCTAGAGGTGTCACCAGTACCTTTACTTAAATTGGTCATTTACTGATAGAGGATGTCTCTCTTCATTATGATATTAAAATCATTGAAGTCTAAAAGCCTAAGTCCCTTTGAAAAGGGCCAAGGGAATCAAAAGTTGTTAGAGAAAAGTAGATTTTGTTACTAAGATTTGCTTCGTTATGAAACAGGCTAATAATTACACTTTACAACCTGTTATCCCTTATTTAACAATATGAGTCACAGAGTTTTCACTTCCAGTCCCAATTAGATCTGAGAGATTAAGAAACCTTTATACAATATTAAGAGGTACAAATATCTCACCCCAGATATAACTCTTTCTTGTTATATTACAGTAAGAACAAATAATCAGGCCACAGAATATGAACAGCAAAATAATACTTTAAATTATTTGTTCAATAGTACACACTTCTGAAATGAACATTCAGCAAATACACTAACATTTTGCAAAGTGGAAGCTCTGGCTATAACTGGTTGATAAAATGTTTGTGCAAAAAATGCATCTACTGATTTTTTCCCTGTTAGGAATCACTCATGCGGGAATAGTTTTAGTAGCTAATTAAATACAAGCTATATTCTAAAATAGCATTAATCTGAAATCAATATTCCAATTACCATAAATAGTGATTAATAAGCCTCATCACTGAGAATTTTCCATTTTGAAAAGCACTTCAGAAACCCTGTGTAATTACAATTCAATTCTCCTGGGAAATAAACTATTATTCTGGTTTTAAAGACGAGGAGATAGGCAGATCACAAATGACCTGCCTGTGACATTCAGTCATATTTCAAAACTAGGGCAGTCAAAAGAGTTCTCATTTTTCCCACCACTTTAGAACAGCTGACTAGGTTTAAGTCTTTAGACTGAAGTTCTCAAAATAGTGGCTACAACTTTACCTGCCTCTCTTTAAAAAATGGGAACATATCAATGGTAACATCTCTCAAAATACATAAGAACTAAAAAAAAAAAGATTATCTTTTCTCAGATGACTGGTTTAGCCATATTAACTACTGCAGAACTGGGCTACAGTATGAGTGCATATCTGAATTTGACAGTACTGTCATTACTAAAAAGTCTGAAAAATAAGATACAGTGAAGTAGGGAGGTGAAAGGCAGCAGGCAACGACGATGCGACAACAACAGGACATGTTTTATGGTACTGCTCAAAGTTTTTCAGCTAGGCAGAATAGAATGAATTATTTGCAAAAGAAAAAAGCCCCCCATTAAACCTTGTGTGCCCAGCTAGAGAATTAATAGAATTGAAGTACCTAAGCCATTTTGTCCACCCACAGCAAATATTTTGTCCTTTACAAACACCAGCCCATGATTCTTCCTGGCTTCAATCATTGGACACAGCTCAGTCCACCTGGAGAAAAAGAAAATCAAACAAAACAGGAAAACTCACTGTTTAGTTCCTGGAAAAGAAACATAAAGTATGTAAATAAAACCTAGTATTAGGAAAATGAAATACAGAAGAAGGCTGCTTAAGAAAAACTGCCTTTTAAGTAAAACTACAACTAACTGATTTATTACTGCTTAACTCAGGAAAATTTCTTACCACCCACAATTCTTCCTATTAATCTACATTTTAGTTATTTACAGAGTGAGCAAAGCCACAAGTCACCAAAAATAATCAGAATTGATACAATACTTACGTTTCGGTGGCTGGATCATAAACTTCACAGGAATTTAGGACTCTTCCAGAAACATTGTTTCCCAAGCTTCCTCCACAAACATAAATGAGACCATTTGCCTCTACCATCCCATGGCTGCATCGCTGGGTCAGCATGCTGGGCTTGGTGTGCCAGCTTTCTGTTCTTGTGTCATAGCATTCAAATAAATACAGTGCAGAATTTCCTTAAAAAAATAGAAACCCACCAAAGTGGCATTAATTTTTAGGGTTGTCTTTCAAGAGAAGAGTCTAACAGTAATTATGAAATTGATGCTTTATTTGTTAGTTGAAAAGGGCAAGCTGCTTTCCCACCTCCAAAAGCAGAACTAACCAACTTGGAACTTAGGACTATTCAGAAAGCACATACTTGTAATTCTTTTGACTGTTTTGTTCCAAAATAAGCAATTAAGTTTATAAAATTGCTATTTGTGTTTGAAAGCAAGAATAAATGATAAGGATATTCTTTTTTTTGGGGGGTGGGGGGGTGGGGAGGGCCGGAGATAAACACTGAACAGAGATGTATATAAATTACTAATCATATTGTCATCATCTCATGCTAGTCTCACTACTTGGAAATATATTTCCCTTTCAAGATGTGAAGATGAAACCAGCTTTGTAAACTTAGTACACATTCACATGAGTTTCTTCTGTAAGCGGTGTGACTTGCCCAATTCCCAGAATACTTGTTGCCTTTGGAATTAGATAGCTTGATTATGTTATAACATACTCCTGAATTATTAGCAACCACAAAACAGCTAGCCCTCACCGTTTTACTTTCTTCCTGGGGACTGGCAGATACCTATTTTCTGGAAGCACAAGGTCTATGTACTCTTCCCTGAAGGGCCAATAAAGCTATTACTGAAATCAAAACCAATTTTTCTAATGAGAATAGACAGGAGCTTAAAGACTTGTGCTCTGATAACTAGCTGAACCATAGCTGAAGCAGAGAACGCTGGATACAACTTTCTTAGAAAAAAACTCTAGGATCCTTCTTCCCTTTGTTTCAATAGCTATATTCACCTAGAACAGTTAAAGCTGCCTTTTCTTGTGCCTCTCTTCCCTTGGCTTTCCACTTCTAAAAATCGTGTCATACTAGCAACACTCTCTACCAGCTGGGGATCTGAATCCTCAAAACAGTGCTACATTTCCAGACCCAAAATACAGGGGCAGACTTCTATAAACTGTGTATGTTTACCCTACCATGTAATTATCAGTATCACGAACTGTATAGAGTGGAACATATTTTTTTCCTTGATGTAAATACACATCCTTATTGCTTTGAAGTTGCAGAAATTCTCATCCATGGGAAATACAGCACAACGGACTTTAATGTCTTTTTTTTTTTTTTTTCAAAAGGGAAAAGCTTCCATTTTCAGTATGCTGTGAGTATATGTTAAATATTTTTCCTGCACCTAAGTACAGTAGAAGAATTTAGTAAGTTTAGCTTTCAACTCTGCTAGCTATTGCAAATGAAACAGTACTCCCATCAAATCAAAAAGGGGAAACAAGCCCTGTTTTCTGTAATGGAGTGGCACAGTAATTTGTTTTCCAAATTCTTCGAGCAATGCAAGCAAATAGCAGGGAATTTTTAGATTTCTCTACAGCTAAACACACTGCAACATTTTCTCTGATTAATGGTTTCACATAATTGCCTGCTGCAAATTAGAAAATACTAGACTCAGGATAAACAGACCTTTCCAAACAAGCACTGGATTCCAAAGAAGAAAAAGACAGGCAAAATAAACTCTTATTAATTTTTAGCTTTTACTATATACTTGAATATTACTTATGGAAAGCAAAGTGAAAATGTGCAGCAATGTGAGGGCAGGTTTAAAAGAAAACTCCTAAATTAAAATTTCCATTACAGTTGTATTAACTAACTACAATGTACTAGAAAATAAACTGTACAATCAAAGTTCGTATCATACTTCCTCATGAAGTGACATGTGGGAAACTAGGAAGATTTACGAGATTTTGTAGCGTTCCACGTTTCCCAATGCAGTCTTAGTGAAGTCTTTTTCAAGTAATGGGAAAGATGCTATTTCACACTTACCACACTAGGTGGCAGCTAGGAACTGTCTAATCTGCTGCTAATTAGCCCTCTTCTAAAATATTTTAGAAGTCAGATAATGGGAAGTTGTGACGTTTAGGTAATGTTAAGTGACTTATCAATGTTAAGCACCGATTATGACCTTTTTTTTCCTCTGCTGTCCCCCCTCTGCAGCAAGGCAGAACTCAAGAGGATCTACTAAAAAAATTTCTCTCTGGCTCTAGGGTTTGGGTTTTTTGTGATTTTTTTTTTTTTCCTTTCTGTCTTTTTCTTTTTCCCCAGAACACAGCTTATTTTAAAGCTCTGTATTTTTATGGATATAGCATACCTACATGCCAGCTTTGGGTTTGGTGATGATGTATCAGATTTAGACAAAATTTAAAGTGTTGCTATAACACCATAGCATAGGTCACCCACTAGTTTTATTGGGGAAAGGAAAACAATAATGAGTAATAACAGCTAAAGTAGTATTTCTCCATTTAATGAAGCAAACCAACAAAATAAACTAACAGAAGATAACTTCTGTCATTTGACAGAAAAATTGGACAAATTCCTTTACAGGGCCAAGTATGACTTCACCACCAAAAGCAGTAGTTTTAAAAGCTTTTTTCCCCACCCTTTTTTTTTTCCCCCCTTAAAAAACTCATTAGACCAAACCTATACAAGGAATGCCATTGTCAAAATGTAGCTATTCTGGCCAAACATCACAGAAAATTTTAAACCACAATGAGTTTTGTGGCTTTATGGAAGTAAGCTAAGAGTAGAGTGGGACTCCCACAATATACTTGCTTGTCCCTAGTTAACTCTTAGAGTTACAGTGTACTTTTTGCTCTAATTAATGTAAATATTACATTTCAATCAGTGAAACCATTTTAAAAACACAACAGAAATAGATTGTTGGATTTTGGGGAGGATAAAATCCTAAATATGGGAAAATAAACTCATTAGGCTAACATGGCAACGTGCAGTTTCTTTTCAACAGTCATGCAAAAACCAGAAAAATTTCCAGGTATCTTTCTTTGCGCTTTTTTTTTGTTTGTTTGTTTTAAAGATTTTTAGTGTCTTACCCACTTCTGAACCACCAGATGTATAAATTTTGCCCTCAGCAGCACAGGCTGCAAGGCTATCTCGAGGTGTTGGAGGTCCTAGCTTGGAATACCAGCTATCCTTCACCACATTGTAGCAGTCCATTCGCTTTATAGGGAAGAGCTGGGAACCACCCAAAATATAAACTACGTTGTCCCAGAAGACACAAGCTGCATCCCTGCGCTTTTCAAAGGGACATCGGATGTCTGTCCAGCTGTAATCCTGCATTACAAAGAACAGGTAATGTCTAATAGATTATAACACTTACCTGCACAGCGAGTGTTTTTCAAACAGAGCTTTTCAGAGAGATTTAGATATGGTCAGTTTTAAAGTTCCTTGTCAAAACAAACATGAATACTGTTTATTGAAGAATACTCCTCAGGCGTACTCTTGAAAAATTCTCTTAGACACAGACATAGTTAGCTGCAATGAACCATGATATTATCAATTTCTATTTCCTCATTCCCTGTGTGCACCCAGTACAGCTTCCCTGAAAAACAATTATTTTTTTTTCCAACAGAATTGACCTCCTGCTGCTATCACATCAGAAACAACGCATGTGATCAATAAAGTAGGATTGCATTTTCTTTTATAGGAATGGAAAAAGACATCTTACATATAGTAACAGATTCTTTCTAAAATAACGAAATACAGAATGTACTAAACAAAGGCAATGGAGAAAGAAGATAATATCCAAATTGACAAGCAACTCAGTTAAAAAGCTCTGATACATACTTTATTACCATGACAACTAGAAGCTTATTTACAGAATTTACAAAACACAAATGATCTATAGCTATCCACAGTTGATAGTATGAGAGATTGAGTAATGCTCCATCACAAATACTGGCAGTCATGTTGCCTAGAAACTGATTTTGCATGGATTGGCAAAACCAGCAAGTATCAAACATGGGCAGTAACACTACCCAAAGCCTTAAGAACACCAAACTCAGCAACTGATGGCAGACCAGGATAGCATACAGCACAAGAAACACTCCTTGAGTAATAGCATCTCACATATTCCATGAGCATAGCTTGTATCCTATACTGAACAGGAAAAGTATGGGACCTTAACCGTTATCTGTGTCACCTCAGGATGGTCTAGCTAAACCTGCTGAATGACCTTCATTGTAATGGTTCACACAAGACGTTACATCAGTACATTTTCTTAGCAAGGACATACTTCAAACACCTTGGTCAATGAGGAAGAACAGCGACTCCTACATGGGGGTTCAAAGAAAGAGAGGCAGAGCACGTTATAGTCCAAAACATCTTACAATCTTTTCTTGTAGCATCCCCCATATCAAGAAGAGCTGGCAGGTGCATGTGGCCCTTTATGGTGAGAAACAGGTCCTGGGGCATCCTAGAAAGGAAAGCCATACTACAGCATGGCAAAATAAATAGCTGCATAAATCTTAAGAAAGAAAATGTCTTAGTGCATTGTGCAAGATCAACATATGTTCTAGCTCAAACTTCTGGCACTTTTACAAAAAATCCTGTTTTCCTTTACTATTATAGAGGGGTGTGATCTGACCCACTTTGACAGCTTCAGTTCATAGCTAGCATTTCATCCGCACCTTTATCAATTGAAGAGCCATAGGTCCTCCCATAACCCAAACATACTCAGCAGTATCCTCCTCTTACAGCAGGAGGCAATTTACATCATTCTCTTGTAATGCTCTTTAGTGTTAGTCTGCACCGCATCAAACTGATTTAAATTTATGCATTTTACATATGTAAGAATTATGCAGAAGAGTTGCTTTATGCCACAGTCAAGATCCACGCAGCCGTGGGCAGTGGCAAGCCTCATTTTTGGGGGGCTGAGTAAGGAAAGAAATGATAAGATAGGTATATGGTGACACTTTCCCTGCTGATCTTGATTTTCAACAAATTGTGATGCAGGACACCAGAGGCAGAAGCTGTATCTTCGGTTTTTGATAGTTTTTGAAAGGCTTTTTTCTCTTCCATGAATTAATTTAATAATTTATTAAAACTATCTGAACTCCTAGAACCTACAAGATCCTGTGACAGGAATGGCACATGCAGTTATGGGCCACATGAAAAAGTACCTCCTTTTGTTCAAGATTTTTCCCTCATTTTCAGTTGATCCCTCCTCTTCCAAGTTTGTCAGGGAAAACAGCAGACATGCCTAATATGGATAACCTCCCCACTAATAGCTTATAGACTACAGCTCTATCTCCTCATAAAAGCTACGCTGGGTCCCTTAATCATCAAGAAACAGTGATGCCAGACATCAGTTACTTTTCATTTGCCATCACTGGATGTTGCATTGTTAAAAAAGTTAAAACTTCCAACTGTTTCTGGTCACTAGAGACAGCAATTTCAAAATAATAAGCATATTGCTGCCTCAAAATCCCAGAGAGTCATGTATAAATTTTTATCAAGAATTCATAAAACAGTAAGTATTTTATTCCCAACTTGGGGGGGGAATTAAAACATTCTGTGGAAAATTCAGTAAGAAAATGCTTCCCACCACCGTTAACAGGACATCTAGGGTTTTTAGTAGTATTCTGAAAACGAACATCTCTACTGAAAATAGTGCCAGATTGCTCCACAAGTTTTATGCCTGTCTGCATCTGTCCTGTTGCATCATTTTGCTCTCTTGATGAAGTATATGCACCCATAGAAATATCAGTTACAGTGCAAAGACAACAAATATAGACTTAAAGTAATACTGTTAACAAGTCTCAACAAATAACACACAGTATCCAATCCATTCTTATTTAAAGAACCCTTTTTGACAACAAGGAAATGAAGATCAACATTAGAGACTAATTTTGCATGCAATCAGTGAAAATTAAAAATTTTGCACTAGTTTTATAGTGTTAGAATTATTGAAATTTATATCACTCAGCTGAGAAAGTATTTTCAGGAGAAACATAACCTTTGTTTTGAACTGTTTCTTTAGCTGACGTAAGAATTTAATTAAAGTATTGAATTCAGTTAAAATCAAAAATGAAGGACTAGGTCACTGTTCAATTAGTTCAACAGACAAACAATTCTCTGCTCTGTAACACTCCCATCATCTTTTGATGGGACTAATTAAAGTGAGTTAAACACAACTGAGTCTTTGCAGCACTGGAGCCTTATATCGCACTCTTATTTTGCATGCACGTGATGCTAATTCAACAGGGGTTCTAGATCCTTGGGTTGTTGCATTTAAGCAGCTACTGTCACACTTAAAGATCAAACTCAGATACTCAAGCAAAACATCCAGAAAAGGACCTTTAAATAACTTAAGAATTGGGAATGAAGTAAGGAAAAGCTATTCAACAAGTCATGACAGGCTACCTAAGTATACCCAAGAAAGCATATAAGCTCTAGGAAGACATTCAAGGTAGACATGCTTGTTAGAATCAAGATCTCCAATTACCCACTTTTTTTCCTTCTCCTTCCCTGCCTGCCCACCCACCCCCCCT